ACAGAAAAAAACGATGTAGATTTTCCAATTTGTTAACTAATAGTCACATGTTCTCTTGCACCTTAAAATCATCAATCAATCATTGCCGTTAGACCACCATTAGAAACCTGGGAGTACTGAAAGACGGCCGTTTCATCCATGTATTCTACTTCACATTCAAGTCTTCTTATTTTCTACTCAATATGGGGGATGGGATAATCGGATTTGAGTAGCATGTCGTGTCGCCAGATCCTCGATCATCACTCTCGTTTTCCGACTAGGTAAACTCCTACTAGCTCGAGCGTATCAAGTTGACGTGTTTACGTGCAAGCGTAACAATGTTACATGTATGAAAACAAGTACTGCATTGAAATACGAGCATGTAAGAGACTGTGATAGACAATCGATAAGATACTTCACTAAGGTCAAGGTCGCGTAAACACTCCTAGAAGGGAATAGTGATTAATTTTACAAGAGCACATATATATGAGAAACTAAAGGCTAAAGAATAAGTAATATATAGGCAGGCCAATTGGGGATAAATTATCATTTCTACATACTGGATTATTTATATAGTCAATAAAATTACAATTAAACAAATGCAAAGGTCAACTATAAAAGGTCATACAATAATTTGTAACTAGATGATTACCAAGTTGGCGTGTTTTGATGATGAGTCAAGTGAATGTGGACGACTATGACAGTACGATTGCTATTTAGTATTAGATTAGACTGGACAAGTGATCGATCGATATGTTGTTATGCTTAGCCTGGGGAATCACATTACTTCTCATAAAGAATATGGACAACTAGGGTACGGATTCTACATAGAATAGATCATACATCCAGGACGCACATTTCTACCTATTTGGTTGCCACATCTCGGAAATAATACCCACTGCGTTTCGTTCCATACGCTAGCGCGTTATTTGCATCCAACTCACGCGTCCACTTACTAACCACATACTGTAGTGAAGGAGAACACAGGTGAGGGCAACCGAATGTGTATTTAACGAAATTTACAGAGTTACTCAGTAAAATAGGAAAACCATATCGTAAACGGCTAATTTGCAAATCTTCAATCCATCATCAATCCATTGTCTGACATTTCACTTATTCATGCGTTTGTTTCATACAAATTCCATTGTGTTCCCACTCTTCTTCCTTTCTTGATCTTCCCCCATCCTCTTCTGCTGCCAGACATTACGTTTACACTCACGTCATATACTACTTATAAGTAGCACTCTTGCCATAATGATTATATCAAGCAAATTCGCATAGAATAATCATATGCTAACCATGACTGATATCGAATTTCAGATAGGATATAAATCAACAACACCAGGGCAATCCAGACCGCTTAATATTCTTTACATTATCGCCTTGTGAGATATTCATGTTTATTAAAATTATTATTATTATTATTACTGTATATTATTGCATACAATGATTTCTTTCTTGCAATATAGGTTTATCCACAGAAGCATGTCTATTAGCTTCAGGTCCAAAACAAAGTGATGATTTAACTATTCAATGGAAGCGTCGTACAATATTAACAACTGAAGCAACATTTCCTCACATACGTCGTCGACTTGAAATAATACAAGTGACTGAAACTGATTTCAGTCCAATTGATTCAGCCATAGATGCTATTCAAGTGAGTTTTTAAAAGAGAGAATTTCAACGTAGCTGCTAGCTACCTTGACGTAGTGGTCCGGTTTGTTTATCATGATGACCTAGCCGAGCTATATTGACTTGAACATATGTTTCTGTGGGTTCTACTATGCCAGGCAGGTCTGCTGGAGAACGATAAGATTAGAACCAGCAACTTACGGTCTGGGGGCGAAGACGTACTGCTGACTGTAGAGAGGTGTGACTACAGTAAGGTGTTTCCCTTGGACAACCAGCATCTACAGCGATGCTGCCTTCTCACTAGGAAGGAATGGTTAGAATAGGTCGATTCTAATAATGTCACACTTCACCTTACCTCACAAATCTCCGTCTCCGGCGGTAAGGACTTTTAAACAAGGGCAGAGCTAACGTGTTAAAAATTTCCCATAAAAAAGGCCGTGCGTCATCGGCATCAAGCAGTTGTACATTGGGGCCTCATACACCTAACAGGATACAAGAGCAAATTGGTCACAATCAATCCAGCAACTTACGGTCTGAGTGCGAAGTCATACTGCTGACTATAGAGTGGTTAGGAAAGGTCGACTCTAAAAATGTCACACCTCAGCTTACCTCATGGATTTCCGTCTTGGGTAGTAAGGCCATTTAAAGAGCGGAGCTAACACCTAACAAACTTCCCATAAAAAAGCGGCGTGCGACCGGCCTCAGCAACTGACACTTAGACTCTGTGGTCACGCTCGAAGGTGGCTAAGATCAACACTTATCTGATTTCCTTTTAAGATTCTTCGAGAAGCACTCTTCCACGGTTTAAGCAGCCTGGAAGTGACATTCGCCCTCATACGCGTAACAGCACACGAGACCTAAATCGGTCACAATCTAATCCTTCTTACACCTCCCAATAACTTTCTGATCTCCACGAATGACTGACTGTCTGACAATTATTCTAACAAAAGAAATATTCTATTTGTAAATTCAAAGTGTAGTGAAGCAATTTTTTAGGAGAGGTACGTCCCATCGTATTCAGCAACCAACAATATTTTCGTACACCATTTGTTCCCTTCAGATCGTAGAGCCCCTTTTACACCATTGTGTTTTTCGAACTACTCTAGGTGGATCCTCCGAAATAACTAGGTCAATTTTCGAAAATTTTTTGAAAACATGAACCAGTCATTGTTTGACCACCATTAGAAATCTGGAAGCACTGGAACTCATCAGAAGTGCACAAATTTTGTTAACAACATTTGTACTATTATGTAGAACTTCCTGGGCAGTGGATATACACACGTGGCGCTATGAGAGATCATTCGAAGGGAGATCGATCGAACTCTCTCCAAATTAACAACAAGAAATTGAATCTTGTTAAATTTTACTGTGATATCCTCTCACATACATGCATGATGTATGTATTTTGAACTATATGCAGACTAATGGTTTTGATCTGTTTACCGTTGAACTTCACCTGGAGCTCTTTGGGGGTTACTGCCGTTCCCAAGTCCAGACAAAGAAGGAGCGTTGAACATGGGGTTAGGTGACTCTATTCCCTAGAAATACAACTCTCTAAAAAGTGCTAACCAGAAACATAATTCGCTGGTGGGCGTCCTATGCTACATTAGGGATAACAGGTGTAACTAAGTAACGTTTATTGCTATACTACATACCACAACTTTTCTAGAAGCTGAAAGTTTAAAGGGGGCGATGCAACAAAAATAACGATGCAGACAACGTCAGGCTAAAGGTCAGTAACAACCAATCAAGATTGAGGTCAGCAGAACAAGCTGCAAGTATTACAGAGAGAAATTCGAATGCTTCAGAAGAAGATCAATGAAATCTCCACAACCAAAATAAGCATCCAGCTCAGAGAACGAAACTCCATCGTTTTCTAAAAGCCTTGCAGCTGTCATACAGTAGTGAGATAGTTTCAAGACATGCCAACCCTGAATAATCACAAACGCATAATGAAATATGTTTTCTTGTTTATGACCATCCATTTTTTTGAGTATTATTATTATTATTACGTAACAATTCAATGAAACTCAATCATCTCCATAATTCTATAGTAAAAAGATCATAAATTGTGCTCAATAGGGATGACTAGTTACATGAGAAGTTGTAGTGAGAATAAGAAGCCCTGACTAGTAGAGTTCAACCCCTATCGGGTGTAGTCAGTTATCCTACCGTCCGAAAACAATGAATGAGATTGCGCCTGTTACCCCAAAGGAGCATAGGCCGCCGACCAGTTTTCTCCAACCAACTCTGTCCTGGGCCTCCCTCTCAAGTTCTGTCCAATGTGTGTTCATTCCTCTCATATCTTTCTCTATTTCTCGGCATAGTGTGTTCCTTGGCCTTCCTCTTTTCCTTTTGCCTTGAGGGTTCCATGTGAGGGCTTGTCTTGTGACGCAGTTAGGTGCTTTTTGTAGTGTGTGTGTCCTATCCACCTCCACCGCTTCTTCCTGATTTACTCTTCCACTGGAATCTGGTTTGTTCTCTCCCATAGTAAGTTGTTGTTGATGGTGTCTGGCCAACGAATCCGAAGTATTTTGCGTAGACAGCTGTTAATAAACACTTGTATCTTCTGAATGATGGCTTTGGTAGTTCTCCAAGTTTCCTCTCCATACAGTAGAACTATCTTGACATTTGTATTGAGAATCTTGATTTTGGTTTTGGTTGAAAGTTGTTTGGAGTTCCAGATATTTTTCAATTGTAGAAATGCAGCCCTTGCTTTACCAATCCACGCCCTCACATCTGCATCGGATCCACCTTGGTTGTTGATGATGCTGCGAAGATATGTAAAAGTGTCAACGTCCTCCAAGGCATCCCAGTCAAAGAATGATTTGGTTGGCGTATGTTGTGTTTTATCGTAGAATCTTACTTTTCCCTTTATGTTGTAGGTTGTACAGTACTTTGTATTCATTAAAGTTAGACATGAACACTGTTAGATACGACCAACTTAGTAGTGTGTGTAGAAGTTAAGCATTTTGTTGCACAAAAGAGACTGAATGTCATGGGTTCGATTCCCGTGAGTGAGTTAATCATAGGATGTACACTGCCACTGATGAATCAATCTCATATACTAGGACGAAACAGTTGTCCAATACTGCCATGTTTCTAACGACAGTCTATTCAATGATCCGCATTCATAATATCAACCGACCGTAGCTGCTACATTGACGTGGTGATCGGGCTTGCCTATCGTGATGACCCAACCGAGCTATACTGACTGGAACATATGTTCCTGCAGGTCCTACCATGCCAGGCAGGTCGATTGGAGAACGATCAGACTAAAAGCAGCTACTCCAAGTCTGAGGGCGAAGTCGTACTGCTGACTGTAGATGGAGGGGTGTGACAGACAGTAAGGTGTTTCCCTCGGACAACCAGCATCTACAGCGATGCTGCCTTCTCACAAGGAAGGAAGAGTTAGAAAAGGTCGACCCTAAAAATGTCACACCTCACCCTACCTCACGGATTTCCGTCTCCTTGGGTAAGGGTGCCCACTAAGGGCCTTTAAGAGCGGAGCTAATCCTCAATAAGAATCTCTATAACTCCTAAAATGAACTACTAATCTTGTTATTTCTTATTATTTCTTTTTTTTTCTGGATTCAGTGTAAAAATCAAGAACTCATGAATCATGTCATCACTTTACGTAATAATCTCGCAGCAAATTCAAGTGAGTGTTTATTTACTACTGTCTTGTTTTTCGTAGAAATGATTTATCTAACTAGAAAGTTTATAATATATATATATATATATATATATATATATATATATATATATATATATATATATATATATATATATTCCATAGGAGAAAGGCATATGATCCATTGTTTTCCTTAGAGAGAGTCAGTCAGTCAGTTGCAACGTAAGAACTTCGTACGTACATAGTACATCAGTTCATGTTGCCATACCACATTGCCACACAGAGACGCAAATTTCAAATCAAATCCCATAGTGATAAAGATAGTAGAGGTATTAATGGTAATGAAGAATACTAAGGTTTGAAGATATATTATTCAAGAAGTATAATTCACTAAGATAAATTTAGAAGGAGAAAAATAGAGATTATGAGTAATGCAGAAGCTTAGAATTTCATAGAATACAAAGAGTGGATGCACTTGCACCATTGCAAACGATTTTGAGCCATATCGTTCAAGATCTGTAACCATTGGTGACTTTCGTCTCGCGGATCCCAACCAGGTAGCCTACATCAACCAACATGACTCAGTTCACTTGTTAGTGACTTCATGGATATGTGCCATGTTTTGGTCTGGCCTCCCCTAACTTTCTTCCAACCTACTCTTACACCACAAAACATAGCTTGTCGAGGTAGTCGGTGGTTAGGCATTCGTAACACATGTCCTAACCACATCAACTGATGAAGTTTCAATACTTCATCACAAATGTTAGGATATACATCAAATATCCTAAAGAAATTATTGTATAAGTTTAATTCCTATTGGTCACTATTTAAGGTCGTCCTAAACTATCAAATTCACATACTTTTTGTTAGGGACGTTAGATCTCCAAAACCCACTTGATAAAGGCCTTAATATTGGATTTTATTCATGTGCTGATCAACTTACCTTGAGATCACATTTTCCATCAGGAAAATCCTTGTCTGTGATTGGTTGATGTGTTCTCTTAGTATGCTATTTTTATGACTGTTTCAAGAACGTTTCTATGATGTATAAATGTGATGTATAAACGTGATTGCTCGTATATCCTGAGACAACCGAGTAAGCAATGCAGTTGTTAGGAAACGGGTACCAGGTAGGGATGGCAGATCAATAGACGAAGTATTGAAACTTCATCAATTGAGTTAGTTGGGACATGTGTTACGTATGCCCAACTGCCTCGTCGTCGAGCTATGTTTTGTGGTGTAGGAATAGGTTGGAAGAAAGTTAGGGGCGGCCAAACCAAAACGTGACACAAATCTATTATGTCACTGACAAGTGGACCGAGTCATATTGATAGATGTAGACTACCTGGTTAGGGTTCACTAAAGATCTTGAATGACACGGCTAAAAACCGTTTGCGATAGCGAAGATGCATTCATTCTTTGAGTTCTCTCAAATTCTAACCTTTTGAATTTCTCATCATCTCTATCTTCCTCTTTCTAAGGTTATTTCATTGTATTCTAATTCTCGAATTATATGTTCGAACCCTAATCTCTCCGATTACTGCTAATACTTCTGCTACCTCTACTACTATGGGATTTGAATTGACAAATTCATCTCTGTGCTAATGGGGGATGGCACCTTGAACTGATGTACGTACGTACATACGCAGTTCTACGTTCTGACTGACAGACTGATGCCATTCATTTTATCCTTCAGACACTCCTCTCTCTATCTGTCTGATAACAGCCATTAGTCGACATGCATACTACTTGTATATATCATCTTGTGAGTAGTATCGACTACACTAGCATGAAACAGTCATCTAATGTTACGATTTTTCTTATTATCAGTTACACATTCTTTATTGTATTATGTACAATTGTAGCCTTATTAAAACAAATATTATTATTGTTGTCTTGTTTGAAATTCATCAAACAATTGAAAATTGAAACAATTTTTGTAATTTGATATGAATGAAATTGTTAAATTGTTTTGTCTGCTCTTAAGATTTCGACGAAAAAAAGTGCATTTCTCTATTTACTTATTTTTTTTCTCATGTGTGATGAGCATAATGAAATATAATTTTCTTAGTATTGAAATTAAATTTACACCCTAACTCCATTTGATATGGTTGTAATAGTTACACTTTTAAGAAGTATCAAACTAAGCCCCCTGGTGTTCGCCATGTTTTTCATGTAAAAGAACGGAGTCTTTGCTTAATCTCAATCGAGAATGTGCGCTTCAATCTATTTAGCACGCGTTAGGTGAATGCGTATAATGTGATTATGATCAGGTGAAGGGTACTGGGTTCGAGTCCTGAAATGAATATGATTCAAGAGATGTGGCAGTTAGGCTGCGCTAGATGATAGTACTCGATGGTCAGAGACTTTGAATCACATGGCTAAAAATCGTTTGCAATGGTGCAGGTGCATCCACTCTTTGTGTTCTCTCAAATCCTAACCTTCTGAATTCCTCATCACCTCTATCTTTTATTTTTAAGTTTATTTCACTAGATTCTACTTCTTGAATAATATCATCGAACCCTTATCTCTCCGATTACCGCTGTTAATTATAATACCTCTACTAATATGGGATATGAATTGACAATTGCATCTCTGTGTTCGAATCTGGTATGGCAACTTGAACTGATATACGTATGTGCGTACGAAGTTCTCCGTTTTAACTGACTGAATTTCATTGATCCAACAGGTTGATCAGTTCCATGTATAAAGTTATGCGATTCCTCTGCTCATCAGTAAATTTACTACTTTTTATAGATTACCCATTTTTAATCAGTAGTCAATTGCATGCTTTACTTTCTATTCTAACTCGATTTCATTGCAGATAGACAGACAGACAGATACAATGTAGAACTTCATACGTACATAAGTACATCAGTTCAGGTTGTCATACCACACATCAGCACAGAGACGTAACTGTCAGTTCAAATCCAAGAGTGATAGTGATAGTAGAATTATTAGCAGCAATGAAGAAGATTAAGGAGCAAAGATATGATTCGAGAAGTAAAATTCAGTGAGATAAATTTAGAAGGAGAAAGATAGAGATGATGAGGAATTCATTGCATTACCGACTGTCTACTTATTTTTCTGCTCATTGATGACACATTTCAATAATTAAAACGAACAACTGTCACGGCAGAATAAAATTATGTTTAGATTAATCTCATTGGATTCTTGTCAGTAGTTGATCACCACAACCTCTTGTTATCTTACTTATGCATGTTACCCTAACAAGGGCCGCCAACGAGCGAATTTAATTATTCTGGTTAGCGTTTTTTTATTTTTATACCGAGTTGAATTTTTCTACAGGAATAGGGTCACTATAATCCCAATATGCCCAACCCTCCGCCCTCCTCTTTTATTCACCAAGAGCTAGGGACCTGGTAGTAATAACCCCAGAGTGGGGGGCTCCCATGTGGAGTTTCTCTTGTTATTAATTATTTTGAATTTTCTTCCCTGGCGATTTAGTGAATTCAAATGAAACGGAAGATGCTAAACAGCTCTCAGTGAATTTGTTAAATTTACAATCGCCTACAATAAATATCAATTCTGCAAATACTCAACGTACTACTACCACTAATACTACTACTACTACTACTACTAATAATAATAATAACAATGTGAAATCGACCAATTGTAAAATACCATTGCTAATGGATATGCAATTACAAGGTGCATTATTGCCTACAGTCAATGCTGGTCCAATGGCATATGCTCAAGCATTTTTAAAACTTGAAAATCAATCACTTTATCCAATGTCGAAAGTGAATCGATTGAAAGAATTATTTTTGTAAGTTTGTTTGTTTGTTTTTTCGGGGGTGTGTGCGTGTGCGTGTGTGTGTGTTAAGATTCTTTTGTTCCATTTGCTGTTGTTGCATCGGCACCTGAACTCTAGGGATAGGGAGTGAAGTAGTCGAACGTGTAGATCGCTTCACTTATCTGGGGGAGTCTCATCAGTGCTAATGGCCTGGTGGTGACTGACGAGATCTCAGCATGGATATAGAAGGCTCGACTGGCTTTCGCCAAACTGCGTCACTTATGGGGTAGACGAGATATCCGTTTGCTGACTAAAGGACGAGTGTACTGTGCAGTGGTTCGCTTCGTCCTACTATATGGCTGTGAAACATGGCCACTGAGAGTAGACGATATTCGCGGGTTATTGGTTTTCGATCGTTGGTGTCTTCGAATCATTGCTCGTATATCCTGGGACAACACCCGAGTAAGCAACGCTGTTATTAGGAAACGGGTGCTAGGTAAGTATGGCAGATCAATAGATGAACTAATGAAACTTTATCAGTTGAGGTGGTTGGAACTTGTGCTGCGTATGCCTAACCACCGACTGCCTTGACGAGCTTTGTTTTGTAGTGTAGGAGTAGGTTGGAAGAAAGCTAGGGGTGGCCAAACCAAAACATGACAGAAATCCATGAAGTCATTGACGAGTGGACTTAGCCATGTCGGTAATTGTCGACTACCTGGTTAGGGTCCGCGAGATGATAATAATCGATGGTTAGAGACCTTGAACGACATGGCTCAAAAGCGTTTGCAGTGGCGCCGGTGCATTTATTCTTTGTGTTCACTCAAATCCTAATCTTCTGGGTTCTTCAACACCTCTAGTTTTGTCTTTCTAAACTTATCTCACTGGGTTATGCTTCTTGAATAATATCTTCTAATCCCAACCTCTCCGATTACTTCTAATACCTTTACTACCTCTACTACTATTGGATTTGAAATGACAATTAAATCTGTGTGCTAATGATGTGGTATGGCAACATGAACTGATGTACTTACGTACGAAGTTCTACGTTTCATCTGACTGACTGACTGACTGTAAGGATTGTTGGAATTTGTTTGTTGAACGCCATTGGATGATGACATGAATCGATTCGTGTTAAAACTGGGAATCACACTGGACGTGACAGTTTCGTCTTAGTATGGAATTTCTCAGCAGCGGTAGTGCGCATCTGTGACGACCTTGAAAGCTGGGATCCAACCCAGGGTCGTGCGTGAACACTTCGCCTTTAAACCATTGATTGAGTCGGCATCGAACGGTGATATTACTCGCCTATTATCCATTATCTTGAATGGGTAACTGCCTGAGCACTTGACACGATTACACGCCACTGATTACAGCTTCTCATTAGAACGCCAAGAATACCCTCACGAAGCTAGTCACTAGTGAGAACATGACATTTATCAATATACGGCTGTGGAGATTGTTGAGTTTCACTGAAATCATAGATCGGTTATTGTTAGACCACCATTAGAAATCTGGAAGCACTGAACGGTAGTTTTGTCCTTGTGTTGTCGGATTTCTCAGTAGTGGCAGTGCGCACACACACAACCGCACACAAGTGAAAATCCCCCAACTCAGGACATTCGATCTTGTACGCGTACATTTAATCGCTAGACTTTTCGATAGTACAATGAGAAGACATGATTGATCTGGCCATACATGTATACACTTGTCAATGCATTTTATATGAAGATTAATAAAAGGTCAATTAAACAAAAGTTCACATAGACATAAGGTGATCATTGTGAAAATGAAGGAGAGAGAAAATTAACGTAACATAATATAGAAAGAAATAGGAAAGGGTAGGAAATTGTTTCCATCAAAGATTAAAATGGTAAGAGAAAATTTGTAGCTCAAACAAGTGATCACGGCGGAGTTTCATTTTCTGAACTGGATAGCTCGTAGCTTGTCCTGTCCACCTAGATCTTCATTGGTTGCCACTAGCCGTCAACCTATCCTTGTCTGCAACTTTAATTTGATTATGTTCCCCTTTGATCTCGATTCTTGTCTACAGTTTCTCTGATTGGTTGATAAATTGATTGCTAAGCTTCTTTGTTCTCCCTCTCTATCCAGTCATTCAACATTTTTCCAATCGACCATATGTCCTCAATTGTCCATATGTATCAATACGAGGGAAGAGATTTTTTTTCAGTTTTTTCAGTTAGAGTTATAGAGATTAGTGTAATCATCTCAACCAATCATTGTTAGACAACCACTAGAGAAACCCAGAAGCACTGGATGGATAAGACTACTCATTAGCAGTGCACATCCACGACACCATGGTGTTTGACTGTTAATTTATATTCATACTGGCAAAGCTGAAGAAGACGTCTACTTTGTCCTATGTAGTGTTGTTGTTCACACTATAAACAGTTTATTTTGTAGATGATATTTGGTTTTTTATCTCTTGTCATTGATGTAGTAGAAGTATTAGAGGTAATGAAGAGGATTAGGGTGTGAAGATGGCATTGAAAAAGTTTAATCCAGTTACCGTAGTCTTGTGGACCCCAACCAACTAGTTTACACCTACCAACATGACTCAGTTCACTTGTCAGTGACTTCATGGATTTGTAGCATGTCACTCCTAGCTTTCTTCCAACCTACTCCTGCACTACTAAACATATCTCGTCGAGGAAGTCGGTGGTTAGGCATACGTAATACATGTCCCAATCACCTCAACTGATGAAGTTTCACTGCTTTATCTATTGATCTGCCATCCTTAATTAGGACCCGTTTTCCGACAACAGCATTGCTTACTCCGTTGATCGTAGGATACACGAGCAATACTTTGAGGAAATCATCTATGATCGTAAACTAGTAATCTACGTGTATCCTCTACTCTTACTGGCCATGTTTTACAACTATTCCTAAATTTTCTCTTCATTAATGGTAATGTTAGTGGTCTTGATTAATGATCATGTTCGTAGTGTACCGGCAATTTGAACTACTGATAGATATAAATGTCAAGTTTGACAGTGTTTATCATTGTATATATATGTTAGACTAACACTGGAAGCATGAAAGCACTGGACACAGCGCCGTTTCATCAGCAATCTGTATCCACGACTCCTTACAAAGGAATCGAACCTGCGACTTTCTGTTTCACTAGTGAACACTTAACCGCTAAAGCCACTAAACCGACATTAAACGGTGTTATTAGGTAACTTACATAACTGAAATGTCAAATTTGAACAGTGTTTTTAGTCGTATATATATTTTGGGGCATAGTTTTTTGGAGGTTTGCGTTTTTACACATTTGAAATCATCAATCAATCATTGTTAGACCACCATTAGAAACCTGGAAGCACTGGACGGCAGTAACTACCAAAGACAAATGGGTGAGGTTGTGCAAAAATCCCTAGATCAATCAGAGTTAGACATTAACACCGTTGGGTAACGGCTCAGTGGTCCGATGGTAAGGCGTTCGCCTACAATGCCGAAGGTCCCGCTTTGGAATCCTGTGAGGTGCAGGAGTCGTGGATGCGCACTGCTGATGAGTCCCATACCAGGACGAAACGGCCGTCCAGTGCTTGCAGGTTTCTAATGTTGGTCTAACAATGATTGATTGATGATTTCAAATATATATGTTAGACTAACACTGGAAGCATGAAAGCACTGGACACAGCGCCGTTTCATCAGCAATCTGTATCCACGACTCCTTACAAAGGAATCGAACCTGCGACTTTCTGTTTCACTAGTGAACACTTAACCGCTAAAGCCACTAAACCGACATTAAACGATGTTATTATGTAACTTGTATAACTGAAATGTCAAATTTAACAGTGTTTATATGATGTAAATATATATATTCTGTTTTGATTCATAGTTTGTTTGTATATACACTGTCTCTCTCTATCTCTCTCTGTTTGTGTTTATCCTTTCTTCCCCCTCCCGATCAACCGATTTATGTTTTAATTGTACACAGTGATTTCTTGTCAACTTGTCTTATACTATTGACACATTATTACAATTTAATGTCAACTATACATGAGGCAAAATATTGTGCTATGCGTGAAGCATTGGATCGATATCGTATTGATTTGAGTAATTTATTGAAGGAAGAAGTAAGTCTCTCTGTGTGTGTGTTTTGTGAATCTTGTTTCCTCTTTTTTTAATCTCGATATAATTCATTTGTCCAATGTATCAATGAAATCATGCATTGATCAAGCTTAGATCAACATTGGAATCTTGGAAGACATGAACAACGCGTTGGATGATGACTCAGTAACTTACTTACTTGTGCCTGTTACCTACCCCGCAAATGGAGCATAGGCCGCTGCTGACCAGCATTCTCTCCAACCTACTCTCTGTCCTGCTGTAGTGAAGGAGAACATAGGTGAGGGTAACCGAATTGTATTTAACGAAAATTACAGAGTTACTCAGTAAAATAGGAAAACCATATCGTAAATGGTTAATTTGCAAAATATCAATCCATCATATCGAACTGGACTGTTCCTGTTGCAAACAACATCAATCCATTGTCTGACATTTCACTGTTCATGCGTTTCATACAAATCCCATTGTGTTCCCACTCTTCCTTTCTTGATCTTCCCCCATCTTCTGCTGCCAGACATTACGTTTACACTCGCGTCATATACTACTCTTATAAGTAGCGCGCACCACACTGGGCCTTCCTTTCTACTTCTGTCCAATCGCTGGTTATTCTTCCCATGTCTCTCTCCATTTCTCGGCGTAATGTGTTCCGTTGGTCTTCCTCAGTTCCTTTGACAATGAGGATTCCGGGTAACGGCTTGTCTTGTGACGCATTTGTGTGATTTCCTCAATATGTGTCCTATCCGCTTCTAGCGATTCTTCCTCCACTGGAATCTGATCTGTTCTATTCAACACTAGGTTGTTGCTGATAGTGTCTGGCCAACGAATCCAAAGTATTTTGCGTAGACAGCTGTTAATAAAACACTTGCATCTTGTGGATGATGGCTTTCGTAGTTCTCCAAGTTTCCGCCGCATACAATAGAACTGTCTTTACATGAAAGATTTTTGAAAGAAATAGGTAGTCTTGATATTTCAGATTTGCTACAATTAATCTCACTTATATACAATTGTAATATTGTTATAGCCAATGAAATATGATACGGTTTGTTTCAGTCTACGGTTGTAATATATCTTCCTTCTTTCCCCTAATTACATGTCTAGTTTTACTTACGCTTGTTACCGCTCATGAAGCATAGGCCACCGATCAGTGAATGATTTTTATGGTTAGCGTTTTTTTAGTTGAAGAGTTGGATTTCTACGGGATGGGTGTCGCTAACCCCTATGCCCAACCCTTCTCCTTTATCCAGGCTTCAGTCAGTTAGTTGTAAAGTATAACTTCGTATGTACATTAGTTCAAGTTACCGTACCACGGTAGCACACAAAGATGCGATTATCGATTCAAACCCCATAGTGGTACAGATCGTAGATGTATTAACAGTAATCAGAAAGATCAGCGTTCGAAAATGATTATTCAATCTGTATGATCCAGTGAAATAGATTTGAGACAAGAAAGATAAAGGTCATGATGAGGAGTTTAGACTTAGCATTTGGGAAAACACAAAGAATGGATGCACCCCGCATCATCGCAAACGATTGTGACCCATCTATCTCACTTAAGGTCCCTAACTATCGGTTACTACCATCTCGTGGACTTCAACCCCAGGTAGTCCATATCTACTTGCATGCCTCAGTCCAGCCAGTTATCAGTAACTTCTTGGATTCTTGCCATGTTTTGGTGTGGCCACCCCTAGCTGCAAAATCGTGCACGGAGGACAGCTAACAGACTCGTTCGGCGTGAAGACCGATGTCAGGCAAGGTTGCTTACTCTCACCCTTTTTCTTTCTCCTGGTGATCGACTGGATTATGAAGACGTCGACGTCTGAAGGGAAGCACGGTATCAACTGGACAGTTAGGACGCAGCTGAACGATCTGGACTTCGCAGATGACCTGGGTCTTCTATCGCACACGCAACAACCAATGCAAGAGAAGACAACCAGTGTAGCAGCAGCCTCTGCAGCAGTATATGTCTCAACATGCATAAAGGAAAAAGCAAATTTCTCCGATGCAACATAACATGCACCAACCAAATCACTCTTCATGGAGATGCCTTGGAGGACGTTAACACCTTTACATATCTTGGCAGAATAATCGACGACCAAGTTGGATCCGATGGAGATGTGGGGGCGCGGATTGGCAAAGCAAGAGCTGCATTTATACAGTTGAAAAATATATGGAAATCCAAATAACTTTCAACCAAAACCAAAATCAGGATTTTCAATACAAATGTCAAGACAGTTCTACTGTATGGAGCGGAAACTTCGAGAACTACGAAAGCCATCATTCATAAGATACAAGTGTTTATGAACAGTTGTCTACGCAAAATACTTCGGATTCGTTGGCCAGACACCATCAGCAACAACTGACTTGGGTGGGAGAGAACAAACCAGATCCCAGTGGAGGTGGAAATCAGGAAGAAGCGGTGGAAGTGGATAGAACACACACTTCGAAAAGCACCTAACTGCATCACGAGACAAGCCCTCACTTGGAACCCTCAAGGCAAAAGGAAAAGAGGAAGGCCAAGGAACACATTACGCCGAGAAATAAAGAAAGATATGAGAGGAATGAACAAACATTGGACAGAACTAGAGACGGAAGCCCAGAACAGAGTTGGTTGGAGAAAACTGGTGGGCGGCCTATGTTCCATTGGGGGTAACAGGCGTAAGTAAGTAAGTAAGCTTGTAACCGGGAATAACCCTAGAAATACTCCAGGCGAAGTTTTCTTTCCTCAACCTTAAAAATAATTGATCTATTTTTTTTCAATTTTCAGATTATTATTGATGAGAAACAATTAAGAATTGGACCGAAATCTTTATCATCAACCACGTCACCACCGTCATCATCATCGACAGTGAATCAAGGCATCAGTTGAATATAATTCACACAAACACACACATAAACATCTTTTCCCCCTCTCTTTATCATTTTTATCTCATTAATTCCAAATGAAACTGGTGTTCAATTCAATTCAATTCAAATTCAGTGTTATGTGATACATTCCAATAGTTTAATCAATTTTCTCATCAGTCTTGTACACTGACAAAACAGTGCACTGCATTGCACTGCACTACACGTACACACACACACACAGTATGGACAATGATGACTTGATTACTGCTACTGCCGCTGTTGCTGTTGCTGCTGATGATGACAGTATCAATTTGTTCTTGTCATGTATAAACTCCATACATCCCTACCCTCTCCCTCTCTCTCTCTCCTGTAAACATTCAAAGACACAGAAAAACTAATCACAATCATCCTAATCATCATTATCATCCACATAGTCAGTTCAGCGTTGTTTTCTACTTTGATTATTTTTCTATTTCTCTATCTAAAGTTTATTTATTCCATTATTGAACATTGATCATTCATTTCAAACAAACAAACCAATCATGTTTGAGAAATTCTTTGTTTAAAATAAAATTATAGATCAAGTGCGTGTGTATGTATATTCATTCATTCACATACATTTCATCCAGTGCATTTCTACATTGACTAACTATATTATTGTACCAAAAAATTGAAGAAAAAAAATTGTTATTTTCATAATGATTATTATTGAATTTTGAATTTGTTTAAAATGTGTGTAAATTTGATTATGAATATTATTGCCTGTCTGTGGCCACTGCTGTGTCACACTGTCATCAACTTAATTTTTAATTTCAAATAATGATTTATATTTATACATTTGTGTGTATAATATTTTTTGTGTATGATGAAAATTGATATTTTGATTGAATTTGCCTGACATTGTTTGTTTTTATACGCAACAGTGTAAAAATGTTCAATTAGTAAGTGTGTGTGTGTGTGTGAGTGAGTGTATCTGTTATGCTCGTCACTAGGTGTATGCTTCAATGCTAATACGAGTTCACTTTAGTTTGATAAACGAGAATGAGACAGTGAACCAGCGTTCAGGTAGGCTACCTTCATCCGATTACTTACTTACTTCCTTACTTACGCCTGTTACCAGTTTCCGCCAACCAACTCTATCCTGGGCTTCCCTCTCTAGTTCTGTCCAATGTTTGTTCATTCCTCTCATATCTTTCTTTATTTCTCGGTGTAATGTGTTCCTTAGCCTTCCTCTTTTCCTTTTATCTTGAGGGTTCCATGTGAGGGCTTGTCTCGTGACGCAGTTAGGTGCTTTTCGTAGTGTGTGTTCTATCCACTTCCACCGCTCCTTCCTGATTTCCTCTTCCAATGGAATCTGGTTTGTTCTTGATCCGATGACTAACTAAAAAGTCTTGATATGGCGAAGAAAGTATATTCTACAAACACCTAGCAAGCACAATGCAATCAAGCACACAAATCTCGTTTATTTTTACATCATAGAAACGTCCTTGAGACAGTCACAAAAATAGCACACTAAAATACACAGCCAAGGATTCTCGTGGTGGGAAAAGAAATCTGAAGGTCAACTGATCAGCCTATGCTCGGAAACACAAAATCCAAAATTAAAGCATCTATCAAGCGAGTTCTGGGCATCTTACGTCCCCAACAGTATCACTTCAGGTTGTTACAATATATATATATACATCATGAGACGAAAGTGTCAAGACAAATTCAGAGATTCGCCCACAATTAACAACATGGCTTAGTTCAATAGTTAATAACTTTATAAAAATGGTGCTATTTCAAATTTATGTTATTTTTTTAAAGTTTTGCGGTTTCAAATAAACAAAGAGACAAAAATAGGAGTATTGTTAGACCAACATTAGAAACATGAAAGTACCGGGTGGCCTTTTTATCAGCAATAGGCATCCATGGCTCCATGCAAAGGAAACGAACATCCCTGAATATTGGATCTCACGCGCGAACGCTTAACCTCTAAATCACTGAACCGGCATCAAACGATGTTTGTGTCCCTTCAACGAAATCATGATCTTGCGTAACCTTCATCTGATATCTTTATTGAGTAACACCTGCCGAACACGTAACACAGCTGCACAGTGCTTTAATGGTTTCCAATCGTATCCTAATATTAGTCGGTTATGATTAATTAATCAAATTTAACAATCTCCACAACTCTATACCAATAAAATGAGCTGACTTCCAATTGTATAAAAATTTTCTGTCATCGTTATTACCTTTTCGAATGATTTAATTGGAAAGTTTGATAAACAACACCTCAAATTAGAGAAAAAATACCAAGTTGTATGAGATGATTTAATAAGCATAATAATAAGTCCAAATAGTGTTATTATCAATAAGAAATGTATTCACATAAGAAAATGCCCTTAAGGTAAATAAAATCTGTCTATATGATGTCAACATAGTAGAGTTTTTTTTTTCGGAACTGTATAGGAAGGATTTGATTTTGACCATTCGGTCTCGTGTGCTGTTACGGGTATGAGGGCCGTTGTCACTTCCTGGCTGCCCACATCGTGGAAGGTTGTTTCTTGAGGGACCTGAATTGGAAGATAGATTAGTGTTGGTCTTAGAGACCTGGGTACGTGACCGCAGAGTCCAAGGGACAACTGCTTGAGGCCGATCACACATGGCATTTTTATGAAGGGTTTTTTGAGTATTAGCTCCGCTCTTGAAAGCCCTTAGTGGGCACCCTTACAGACGGAGACGGAAATCCGTGAGGTAGGGTGAGGTGTGACATATTTAGGGTCGAGCTTTTCTAACCCTTCCTTCCTTGTGAGAAGGCATCATCGCTGCAGATACTGGTTGTCCAAAGGAAACACCTTACTGCCGTCACACCCCTCTGCAGTCAGTCAGAAGTACGACTTCGCCCTCAGAACTTGAGTAGCTGCTTTTAGTCTCATCGCTCTTCAGTCGACCTGCCTGGCATGGTAGAACTTTCTTCATATGATAGAACATATGTTCCAATCAGTGTAGCTCGGCTGGATCACGATAGGCAAACCCGACCACCACGTCAAGGTAGCAGCTACGGTCGGGTTCGGGACTGTGTGAATTTATTACAATAGTTTATCAACTTTCAAAACATGAATCATCTTTCGGATGGATTATATTCTATCTTATAAACTAATTTAGTTAGTCAGTAGTAGTAACTAGTTAACAATAAGTTTATAAGTTTAAATATTAATCACAGATTAAAACCTGGTGGATAATTTGAAAATTTTTGCTAGTCCGGCAAACGAATCTAACGATTAATAACATTTATCTGCTCCTGAAACCCTTCCAGATTTACTGCCGATCCCAAACACGGAGGGTTAGCGACCTCATTCCCTAGAGACTCCTAACTCGCTGAAAAAAACGCCAACCAGAAAAAAGTAATCCCAATTGTCTGCACAAATCCAATTGTGAATATTATTAATCATTGTTTCAGAAGTAAACTGATTGTATTCAATAATGGTCAGTTTATTTTCTTATTTAACCAAGAAAAAAGGGCAGACTGTGTACATTCTGATTGATGAATACAATCCATGGTAAGATAGATTGCTCTTGTCATTTGAATTGGTAAATATACTTGAGATCATACAACTTGTTGATCAAAAACAACGAACAGAATTCAAATATTATTGATTATTCATTTTAGAGTGATGGAGATTGCTGAAATTTGAATCAATCATTGTTAGACCACCATTAGAAACCTGGAAACACTGAACAGTCGTCTCGGAGTTCTAATGAGAAGACCAGTGGGCTTCAACCCGGTCGGGTGTAGGCAGTAATTATCGAAGACAAATGAGTGAGGTTGCGTAAAATCCCGAGAGATTGATCAGAGTTAGACATGAACCACCGTCTCAGTGGTCTAGAGCTTAGGGGCTCGCGCGCAAGACCAAAGGTCATGGATGCGCACTGCCACTGATGAGTCCCATATATTGGGATGAACTGACCGTCCAGTGCTTCCAAGTTTTTCTCTAACTGTGATCTGAAAATGTTCGATTCACAATTCAGTAATTGTTTATCATATTTTTCGTCGGTATTCAATTTTCATTTGCCATTTGGTAGTGTATGTACACGTAAATTTAGTCTATCAACTTGATCAAACTTATCTAGATTATGATAGACACTAGATTGCTAAGTTAGCCAACTTGTGTTTGATTCTATCAATCATTCTTTGAAAAAATAGCAGTGTTTTTAAAAATAATGCCACCTGGAGCTCTTTTGATGCTATTGTCGGTCCGAAGCCAGGATAAAGGAGGAGGGTTGGTGTTACGCCTGCACGTAAACACGTCAACTTTATATACTCGAACTATTACGAGTTTACCTAGTCGGAAAACGAGAGTGAGGATCGAGGATCCGGTGACACGACATGCTACTCAAATCCGATTATCCTAACCCCCATATTGAGTAAATGAAGACAAGACTTGATATGAAGTAGAACCTGTATTCTACAAGCATCCAGAAAGTACGAGGTCCGAATCCAGAAGAGAATCAGGACCCCGGACAAGGGATACGGGACAGGGTCCTGGTCCTGGTCCTGGTCATATAACGTTACAGATAATGCGTATTTATACATTTTGGTCGAATAGGAACAGCATCGAATTCTGTGGCATGGACAATAGGCATGGACCAATAGGAAGTAACATTGATAGTCAGGACAACCAATAAGAAAGAACAATTGAAATGACATTGACCATCCGGATGACCAATCAGACACAACACTGAAGTATTTGACTTTGACAGTTAAAACGACCATAATTTTGACCAATAGAAATCGACTAATAGGATTTGACCAATAATTCTCTTAGCATATTGGATGAATATCCTAACAGTTGGGTACGGTGTTAACGACCCCATCCCATAGAAGTCCAACTCGTTAAAAAACACACACTAATCAGAAAAATAATTCGCTGGTCAGTGGTCTATGCTTGCTTCGTTGGGGGTAACAGGCGTAAGTAATAGTAACAGTGAAGTAACATGGTTTGTTCAGCTTTCCTAAAATTTAATCAGTTCATTCTTCTCGAGTTATATTAACTCACACATCTTCTGACCTTGCCAACTGTTCGCTTTTACCTCGGTTGTTTTCATTCGAGTATGTGTGTGTGTTCAGCGCTGACTTCGCTTATCGGATGTGCCTAGCGTATTTTCGTCTAACTATAAATACTTAGTTATGCCTCATCAAATTGAGTTGGTTCACTCGCTTTAACCTATTTCGCTTCACTTTGCTCATACACTTTTCATTCTCATATCTGTTAGCTTAAATCGAATGCATGAATGATTTTTTGAAATAAACTCATCCAACTGAATACCTCCTATATGGCTTCTTATTACTGCCGTTACACCACAAATGGGGTTCGCCTAAAAGCATGATATACGGAAACTGAAAGGGAGATTTATTTCATAGCATAATCGAACGTCATAAATTATGGAGTCAGCTCATGGGGCACTAAAGTAGCCAGCCCACTAAAATGTCTTCCAGCCATAAAAACAATTTGATCAGTACATACAATATTCATATTCGACACTATTCTCTTTCTCTGTAAGTAACTTCTGAGTGACGGACGACACTCAGCTGTATACTATTTTGAAACCATGCTTGTTAGGATATTCATCTAATATCCTAAGAGAATTGTTGGTCAATTCCTATTGGTTCATTCCTACTGGTCAATTTTATGGTCGTCCTAGTAGATATCAACGTCACATGCTCCAATGTTGTTCCTTATTGGTTGTCCTGACTATCAGTGTCACTTCAAACGTTGTTTCCGATTGGTCGACTTAACTGTCAATGTAACAAACTTCGATGCTGTTTCCTATTCGACCTAACTGTATAAATACGCATTACCTGTAACGTTTTATGACCAGATCCCGGATCCCTAGTCTGGGATCCTGATTCTCTTCTGGATTCGGACCTCGTACTTTCTGGATGCTTGTAGAATACATGTTCTACTTCATGTCATGTCTTGCCTTATTTTTACTCAATCTGGGGGTTGGGACAATCGGATTTGAGTAGCATGTCGTGTCACCGGATCCTCGCTCTCGTTTTCCGACTAGGTATACTCGTAATCGTTCAAGTATATCAAGTTGACGTGTTTACGCGCAGGCGTAACATGCTACAAGTAGTAGTAGTAGTCACCACAATGTTACTCTAGTCTACTCTACTCTACTATCACTTAACACACAACTATATCATATTCGTTCTCATCATTCGGTCACACTATTTGAAAATTGATTTAAAAGAAATTTCAAGAATGAAATAAAAATGCAGAACACAAACCAACAAACAAGATTCAGTCAGCCAATAACAACGTAGTAGAACTTCGTAAGTGTACGTACATCACACAGTTCAAGTTGCCACATCATATTCCCACACACAGATCGAATGGCCAATTCAAATCCCATAGTGGTGGAGGTAGTAGAACCATGAGCAATATAATCGGAAAGATTAAGGTTCAAAGATATTATTATTCAACGAGTATAATCCAGTAAAATCAATTTAAAAACAGGATAAGAAAAGGTCCTGACCTCGTGAGGTCGTGAGTGAGAATACAAAGAATGGCGACTATATCTGCGCCAACAAACAAAATAAGATTACACATTTGAAATCATCAATCAATCATTGTTAAACCACCATTAGAAACCTGGAAGCACTGGACGGCCGTCTCGACCTGGTATGAGACTCATCAGTGGCAATGCGCATCCACGACTCCTGCACCCCGCGGGATTCGAACCCGGGACCTTCAGTATTGTGCGCGAACGCCTAACCATTGGACCACTAGACCGGCATCCAACAGTGTTAATGTCTAACTGTGATTGATCTACGGATTTTGCGTGACCTCACCCATTTGTCTTTTGTAGTTACTGCCTACTACACCCGACAGGATTGAACTCCATTGGTCACGTCTTCTCAACTAGAACTCCGAGAATTTCCTCACGAAGCTAGTCACTAGTGAGCACTATTACGATATTTTGGGGCAGAGCTTTGGAGATCTGTGTTTTTACAACACATTTGAAGTCATCAATCAATCAGTCATTGTTAGACCACCATTAGAAGAAACTTGGAAGCACTGGACGGCCTTTCGCCCTGGTATGGGACTCATCATCAGAAAATAAGATTACACACAACATACTACTTAATTTATGAATAAATTTATTTATTTATTTCCGATTACAAAATAATAATAAAAAAGAAACCCAATACTACTGAAATACTTATCTAAAGTAGTATGTAGGAAAAAAACAAACTACCCCCCCAAAAAATAATTAAAGAAGAACAATATCATGATTACAATTTTGAAAATATAAACTAGAGAACATCAACTACTTACTACACACTAACCGGTGTTATCAATGAAATGAAATCAAATTAAATCTTGAACAAATTAAGTAAATTCATCAGAGTGTGATGGCCATCGTTATTAATTAAGTATATCAATAGTCCTCTCTTAGATGACTACGGGGAAATAATCCACCATACTACATAATATATACCAGCTGCATTCTTCCACTTCTAGAAGGCACCACATTAAGACACACACACACACACAGAAAAAGGCGGTCGAAACAAACAAAACATGTTCTAGGAGAACAATATAATAGGAAAAACGAAATGAGAGCGCCGCCATTGATCAACAACAACAACAACCACCAACTTGAAGAACATAAAGTCGAAATTTCACTGAAGAAAAAATTGTCATCACAAGATATAATAATAATAATAATAATGTGAGAAAAAAGAAACAAAATAAAACAAAACAAAAGAGAGCACCATATCATTGTTAAAAATAAATCATTCATTTCACAATTAAAAAAAAACACACACACATTGGACATTGAACATTGAACAACATATTGAATTGTGTTGTTCAATGTGTTCAATGAAAATGATTGGTTGGTTGGTTGGTTGGTTGGTTAATTAGTTAGTTGATCTGGACACTTTATCTAGACGACGTTGAAGTTTTTCAGCTAATTCTGCACTGGCCAATGATGATGATGATGATGATTGATGAGTATTGTGCATTGACGAAGCATGCCCATTTGATGATGATGATGATAAATGTTGTTGTTGTTGTTGATGAGAATTTGAAGAGGATGAAGATGAGCAGCAGGTTGGTGTTTCGTGTTGCTGTTATTTTTAAATAAAGAAACAGAACAAAAAGTCATCAGCTGATTGAGTATGTTGTATAAGACATTACAACCAATAGATTTCAAATTCGAACGTTGTTTCGTTTAAATCACTTCTTAATAATTGTTAAATAGTATTAGTCTGTGGGGGACGTTATATATCCCCAGAACTTACTTGGAAAAGGTGTTAATTTTTGGATTTTTTGTGTTTTCGGGCATAAGCTGCTCAGTTGACCTTGAGATTACATTTCCCATGCGGGGAATCCTTGGCTGTCATTGGTTGATGTATGATTTTAGTACGCTATTTTTGTGGCTCTCTCAAAGGACTTTGCTATTATGTATGTGTTACGCTTGCACGTAAACACGTCAACTTGACATAATTGAAATATTACGAGTTACCTGGTCGGAAAACGGGAGCGAGGATCGAGGGTCCGGTGACACGACATGCTACTCAAATCTGATTTTCCCAACCCCCATATAGAGTAAAAATAAGAAGAGATGATATGAAGTAGAACCTGTATTCTACAAGCATCCAGAAAGGACGAGGTCCGATTCCAGAAGAGAATCAGGATCACGGACTTGGGATCCTGGACCTGGTTGTGGTCATAAAACGTTACAGATAATGCGTATTTAAACATTTTGGTCGAATAGGAAACAGCATCGAAGTCTGTGACATTGATAGTCAGGACAACCAATAAGAAACAACATTAGAGTACGTGACATCGATATCTAGGACGGCCATGAAATTGACCAGTAGGAATTAACCAATAGGAATTGATCAATAATTCCCTTAGAATATAGGATGAATATCCTAGCAGTATCATATAAGCTCGATTTGTGTGCTTATCGACCTCATATTTTCTAGGTGCATGTAGAATAACACTCTCTACGCCTTATCAAGACTTCTCGATGTTGTATAAAATATTGCAACCAATAGATTTTAAGTTCAATTGGTGTTTCGTTTAAGTCACTTTAAAAAAACTTAAAAGAAATGATTCAAAAATATGTTTAAAATTCTTTGAAAATTTCACACGTATGACTTTACGATAAGTTGAATCTACAGTGAAATTAGCCAGACTAAAATATGCCACCAATTCATGAAATCAATGGACATTGAACTAAGTCATGTTAATAGGCGTAAACTAACTGATTGAGGCTATTCCGTTATAAATATTTTTGACTCCAATATTTCGCGTCTCGTCACTTACTTACCTACTTACACCTGTTATCCTCCAATGGAGCATAGGCCGCTGACTACTATTCTCCATCCTACTCTATCCTGGTCTCCGCTCTTCAGTTCTGTCCAACTGTTGTTTATTCTTCTGATATCTGTCTCTATTTATCGGCATAATGTATTCCTTAGGCCTTCCTCATTTCCAAGTGACAGTTTGTTTTATCAGGCAGTTGGGTACTTTCTGCAGTGTGTCCTATCCACTTCCAGAGCTTCTTCTTCATTTCCTCCTCCACTGGAATCTGGTTTGTTCTTCCCCATAGTAGGTTGTTGTTCATGATGTCTGGCCAACGAATCCAAAGCATTTTCCGTAGACAACGGTTAATAAACACTTGCATCGTGTGGCTTTGGTGGTTTTCCAAGTTTCCAGCCCATAGAGTAGAACTGTCTTGACATTTGTATTGAAGATTCTGACTTCAGCGCTTGTTGATAGTTGTTTTGAGTTCTAGATGTTTTTCAATAGTAAAAATACAGCTCTTGCTTTGTCGATCTGCTCATCAATTATGCTTCTCAGGTATGTAAAGATTTTTACGTCCTCTAAGGCATCCCAATCAAGAATGATTTAGTTGGCGCATGTTGTGTTGTATCGTCGAATCTTGCTTTTCCGTTTGTGTCTCATCTATGATGTACTCTAACAGATTAATTCTCCTAGTATTACTATGAATTTACTCGAAAATAATTTTAAAAAAATACCAGAACACCAGTTATTGTGTATTGTCAATGATTAATGGAATCGACAAGATACATTGAGAGTCAATCACATCAGACAGTAAGTGTGATGATGAATAATAATTGTTTGCAGTATAACACAAGTGTATCTATCTATTCCTTGTCTCTTTGCTCTAATGCTAAGCTTCATGGATTTATATTTTTGTAAATCTTCTACACCTTGTAAAAAGAAATACTTATCTGCTAGACATGATGCAGCTGGAGGATCTGGACTTCGCAGATGATCTGACTCTTCTATCACACAAGCAACAACAAATGCTAAGCGAAGACAACCAGTGTAGCAGCAGCCTCAGAAGCAGCAGCACGTCTCAACATACACAACGGTAAAAGCAAGATTCTCCGATACAACACAACATGCATCAACCGAATTACACTTGATGGAGAAGCTTTGGAAGATGTCGAAACCTCTTTACACATCTGGGAACCATCATTAATGAACAATGTGGATCTGATGCGACTGTGAAGGCGTGAATCGACAAAACAAGGGTAGCATTTCTACAATTGAACAACATCTTAGTCTCAAAACAACTATCAACAAACACCAAAGTCATAATTTTCATTACGAATGTCAAGACAGTTTTACTCCACAAGACGGAAACTTGGAGAACTACCAAAGCCATCATCCCAGAAGATACAAGTATTCACTAACAACAGTTGTCTACGCAAAATACTTCGGATTCGTTGGTCAAACACTATCAGAAACAACCTACTGTGGAACAAAACAACACTGGATGACTGTTTCTTCCTATAATGGAACTAGCTCATCAGCAACGCACATCCATGACCACTGTTACTAGCAGGATTCGAACCCAGGACCTCTGGATCACTAAACCGGCATCCAACGGTGTTATTGTCTATCAAGTCTGATCAATTTAGGGATTTGGCTCATTATTCGATCTCTGTGTGTGGCAATGTGTGTGGCAACGAAAACTCGGACTGATGTACGCGTATCTATGAACGTACGTACATACGTACAAAGTTCTTCCGACTGACTAACTGACTAAAACAACTGTTCAAATTTATCATGATTATGTCAAAATGAAACAGAAAAAAATAAAAACGTAGAAATATATATTACGTACTGCGCTGTATGATAGATACACCAGAGAAAAAGTAAGTAAGTAAGTTTTATAATGACAGATAGAAGTTTACAAAAAGTAAAAATAATTCTAATTGGGACATTTAAACATTTAAGATGGATTAGAAAATGAGTTTTTCTGTTTATCTGTTTGTATTTTGTTTATTTGTTAACATTTTCAACATTTTTATACACTAGTAGTATATATATATATATATATATATTGAACAAATATATAACTACTGCATGGAGAATAGTAAACAATGAAAGCATTTTTATGATCAAATTATAAATTGGGAATGGGTGCAGTGTGGGGCAGTGCAGTAGGGTGTGTGTCATGGATATACACTACTACTGTGGTGCGCGCTACTTATAAGTAGTATATGACGTGAGTGTCAACGTAATGTCTGGCAGCAGAAGAGGATGGGGGAAGATCAAGAAAGGAAGAAGAGTGGGAACACAATGGAATTTGTATGAAACAAACGCATGAATAAGTGAAATGTCAGACATTGGATTGAAGATTTGCAAACTAACCATTTACGATATGGTTTTCCTATTTTACTGAGTAACTCTGTAATTTTTGTTAAATACAATTCGATTGCCCTCACCTGTGTTCCCCTTCACTACACTACTACTATTACTATTAATAATACTACCTATTAATGAGAGCCAACATGAAGATGAAACAGTTGTTTAGTGTTTTCAAGTTTTCAATGATAATGTGTCCTATATATAACATTGATCAATTAGTTGTTCAATGAAATTCAATAGATATTTACAACATTAAAACAAACAGTTAAGTATGTTAGGCAATTCTTCAAATTGTATTCAATATGTGCGTATATATACACAACATACAATGTGTGTTGTTGCATGTAAAACCTAAGAACTTATCAATAAAGTCGAGGTTAATAAGGTTTAATTAGGAAAGTGTTTTACTACATTTGTGTGAAATAGACAACGTCGGATGTTGGTTAGCTCAGTGGTGCTGTTAGGTTCTCGTCACTAGGTATGCTTGAATGCTATTACGAGTTCACCTGAGTCGATAAACGTGAATGAGACAATAAACCAGCGTCTAGGTAGGCTACCTTGATCCAAAAAACGGCAAAATAGAAGTCTTGATGCAGCGTAGAAAGTATATTCTACAAACACCCAGCAAGCACACAAATCTCGTTGATTTATATATCATAGAAACGTCTTTGGACAGTCACAATGTAGTGAACGAGAACACAGGTGGGGCAACCGAATTGTATTTAACGAAAATTACAGAGTTACTCAGTAAAATAGGAAAACCATATCGTAAATCGTTCATTTGCAAAATATCAGTCCATCATATCGAACTGAAGTGTTGTTCCTGTTGCAAAACATCAATCCATTGTCACTATTCATGCGTTTCATACAAATTCCATTGTGTTCCCACTCTTCTTCCTTTCTTGATCTTCCCCCCACCTGCTGCTGGCAGACATTACGTTTACACTCGCGTCATATACTACTTATGAGTAGCGCGCACCACAGATATAGTGTAGAAAGTATATTCTACGAACACCCAGGAAGCACATTACAATCAAACACACAAATCGCCTTTTGTTTATACATCTTAGAGATGTCCTTTTGACAGTCACAAAAATAACACACTAAAATGACACAGCAACCAATCACAGCCAAGGATTTTCCTGGTGGGAAACGAAATCTCAAGGTCAACTGATCAGCCCATGCTCGTAAACGTGAATTTCAAAATTAAGGCATTTTTTATCAAGCGAATTCTTGAGGTCTAAAAACATCCCCAACACAAGGTTATTCAAATTTCAATAGATTGAAGTTGTTTCTTTTTGTTTGTTTGATTTATTTATAAGAACAATTCATTAAATAAATAATTAAAAATCAATAAATTTCAATCATATTAAAATTTTTAAAATAAAACAAACCATTTTATTTAATAATTGTTTCTTTTCGATTAATTCACGTTTCCAATTCGGTACAAGACCCCATTTTTTTAATTCATCCTTTAATATAAATAAATAAGTATATCAATTAAGTAATTCATAGTGATATTTTTCAAATAATAATAATAACAATGATAATTATGGCTCCTGTTAGTGTTATATATTGAGTACAATAATATTTCAACAAAATCAGCTTTACGAAACAATTAGTAGTGATTGGCAGTTAGTTGGAAGTAGTAAGCAGTTCAACAATAATCAATATTTTTTATTACCAACATTCATTCTTTTCTTATGTACATACGTACGAAGTTCTTAAGTTGTAACTGACTGACTTTTCTTATCAGCGCTAATCAGAAATATCACGGTATGTGTTGCGACTTGAACATGCTTTTACTGACCATGTTATATAAGGGATACTAACACTAACTATCAGGTCTCATCAAATGGCCAGAAACATGAAAAGTTCGCTATTGTGAGAAAATTATTACCCAATATGAGACAAAGTGTGATATAAGAGTGTTTGAGTCTATTTGCATCAAGTTGGGCTGCATCTCTTACTCTATCCTATGCCATACTATGTGTATACCATATGCTATGAGACCAGAAGTCCGTTGTAATGAACATTGTGGATGGCTTGGTATTGTTTTGGCAAGTATTGCTAACAGTCCATATTATAAAATCGGTTAGCAGGGTAAGCGATTTCATTGATACTACTGGTGCTGGTTGTGATGCTTTTCAATATAAACTGATTCCCAACAGGAAAATCTATGACTGTCATGGGTTGACTGATTACTTTAGTTGGCTATTTTTGTGGCTCTCCCAGGGACTCATGTATCATGTATAAATAAGCTCGATTTGTGTGCTTGTTGACATCGTATTATCAGAGTGCTTGTAGAATACACTTTCTACGCCTTGTCAAGACTTCTTGATCTAGTTAACCGGGTCGGGGACAAACGGATTATATTAGTCTACCCTGTCACTGTATCATTTGTCTTCGCTCCCGTTTACCCAGTAAGGTGAACTTGTAAGCATATCGATTGACGAACACATTAGTTAGTGACCCCATCTCGTAGAAAACAGACTCGCTAAAAAAACGCTAACCGGAAAATAATAATTCAAACGTATTGACGTTGAAAAAAAACACCGAACAGCTAAAAATAGATTTTCTCTTCCAACTTCTTGTTTAAGCAGCCAGTTTAGGCGGTTAACATGCTTGGAACCCCTCTGCGGCTACTGCCAGTTCCAAGCCCAGCCGAGTAAAGGAGGAAGGTTGGGCATGGGGGTTAGTGACCCAATCTCGTAGAAAACTAACTCACTGGAATAACGCTAACAGCAGCAAAAAAAGGAATACCGGACAACGCCCATATGGTCGTCATAACAAGAAATTCTTATCAACTCCGCAGTATACACATACACACACATACAGGCATACTTACTGCATAACTATTCGCTGCATCTTGATTTTTTCGTTTCAACTGATGAATTTTCCAATCAGGTAGACCAGATGAAATTGGATGATAACCAGGGATTTGATTAGCATCAACTGAAATATTCAAAAATGTTGTTGAATAAAGTAAAGAATAGAGCGAGAGTGTGTTTGTGTGTGAGAGAGAGAGGAGAGAAATAGGGAGAAACAAGCTTTAAAATGTATGAAAACAATGAATTATATCAGTATTGTAGTAAATAAATAAGCCTAGAGAGAGTCGATAAAAAAAAGACTTAGGCCTAACATGATTAGTCTGTCAAGTCACTTTTAAACAATTTCATAAAATTGAGTTTTTTTGTAGAAAAGAAAAGCTAATGCGTTTAAAAATCATCAATCAATCTATGTTAGACCACCATTAGAAGAAACTTGGAAGCACTAGACGGTCGTTTCGTCCTGGTATGGGACTAGCTCATCAGTGGCAGTGCTCATCCACGATAATACCAAAGGTCCCGGGTTCAAATCCTGCGAGGTGGTGCAGGAGTCGTGGATGCGCACTGCCACTGATGAGTAGTCCCATACTAGGACCAAAACGGCCGTCTTTCAGTGCTTCCAGGTTTCTAATGCTGGTCTAAAAATGATTGATTGATGATTTCAAATGTGTAAAAACACTAATTGCCATAACTCTAATTGAAAATAATGTGTTTAGATTATGATGAACTTTTAGTGGCTGTGTTCAATTCGAAGTAGAACTGGTCAGCACTACTATCATGGCCCATGTGATTTGAATTTACTATCTGGGACAAACAAATGAGAATGTGCCATGAAATAAATCTTCCCTTTCAATTTATGTATATCATGTGCTTAGGTGAACCGGAGTTTATGCGACGGCAACGGCTGCATTTCTACAGTTGAAAAATATCTGGAACTCCAAACAATTTTCAACCAAAACCAAAATCAGGATTTTCAACAGAAATTTCAAGATAGTTCTACTGTATGGAGCGGAAACTTGGACAATTACTAAAGCCATCATCCAGAAGATACAAGTATTTATGAACAGTTTCCCCACGCAAAATACTTCGGATTCGTTGGCCGGACACTATCAGCAACAACTTACTATGGGACAGAACAAACCAGATTCCAGTGGAAGAGAAAATCAGGAAGAAGCGGTGGAAGTGGATAGGACATACACTACGAAAAGCACCTAACTGCGTCACAAGACAAGCCCTCTCCTGAAACCCTCAAGGTAAAAGGAAAAGAGGAAGACCAAGGAACACATTTTGCCGAGAAATCGAGAAAGGCATGAGAAGAATGAACAAACATTGGACAGAACTGGAAAGGGAAGCCCAGGACGGAGTCGGTTGGAGAAAACTGGTGGGTGGTCTATGCTCCATTGGGGGTAAAAGGCGTAAGTAAGTGATTAGTGAATCATATGTGTAATTCCCTACAATACTCAACGTCATAGTAGCTGATGTTAGCCTACTACTACCATCAGGAACTTGGATGTACTGAATGGCCGTTTCGTCCCACCACAGGATACATTAACAGTGCGCAGACACGACCCCACATGATGAAGTAAAGCATAGGACCCTCGATTACAGGCATGATGGATAGCTTGACCTCTAGATCACTGAGTGGGAATGCAACGGTGTTCATGATTAACTTCAATCAATCAACTATATGACTTCCTCAAAGGCCCCGGTACTGCCAAGAGTAGTAAGATCTACTTAAAACACCCGACCGAAGCTGCTACCTTGACGTAGTGCTTGTCGGGATGCCTATGGTGATCACCCAACCGAGCTATATTGACTGGAACATATGTTCCTGTAGGTTCTACCATGCCAGGCAGGTTGATTGGAGGACGATGAGACTAAAAGCAGCAACATAAGGTCTGAGGGCGAAGTCGTACTGCTGACTGCAGAGAGGTGTGACAGTGGTGAGGTGTTTTCCTCGGACAACCAGCATCTGCAACGATGCTGCCTTCTCACAACGGAAGGAAGGATTAGAAAAGGTCGACCCTAAAAATGTCACACCTCACCCTACCTCACGGATTTCCGTCTCCGTCGTTAAGGGTGCCAACTAAGGGCTTTTAAGAGCGGAGCTAATCCTCTAAAAACCTTTCATAAAAAGGTCATGCGTGACCGGCCTCAAGAAGCTGTCCCTTGAACTCTGCGGTCACGCTCCCAGGTCTCTTAGACCAACACCAATCTACATTCCTTTTCAGGTCCCTCAAGAAACAACCTTCCACGGTGTGGGCAGCCAGGAATTGACAACCGCCCTCATACCCGTAACAGCACACGAGACCAAACTGGTCAAAAACACTCGCTGCTTTCTCATAGAACAGGTATTACATACGAAATTTAGAGGATGAAAAGCAAATATCCGGAAAGGGCTTAAGCCAGCTTAGGTTTTGAGCATGGCGAATCCATCTGGGGAAATGACATAGTATTGATTCCAAACCAATGGTACATATTCGCTCTAGGATGCAGATGCAACAACAACTACACACTTCCAGATGTTGCTCCATTGTCTTATGGATTACAGCTGTAGATCAAATTCTCATGTTATGGTCTCCCTTAAAAGAATCACCATTTGGCTTCAATTTTTGGCACTCAATATAGCCAGTATCCTCAACACATTCACAACATTTAAAAACAACAATATTTGACATAATTAAAATCTGCATTACGGGGTTGTGAAGATTGTTGAGTTACACATTTTTGAAACCATGAATCGATCAATGTTAGACCACCATTAGAAACCTGGAAGCACTGGACGGCCGTCTCGTCCTGGTATGGGACTCCTCAGCAGTGCGCATCCACGACTCCTGCACCCCGCAGGATTCGAACCCAGGACCTTCGGTACTGTGCGCGAACGCCCTAACCAAATCCACAAATTTATCAAAGAAGCTACGGGGAAAATCAAAAACTATCATCGCATAATTTAATTAAAAACTAACCAATATTGAATTCATTAAATATAGCCAATGTTTGTGCAGACAAATTCATTGATTGTATTATATCCACAAATGATGATGAATCTGAGCAGTAATGAAAATAACAATAATAATAGAAATAATTGTTAGTTATTTTCCATAACTAATTGTAGTTATATCATAACTAACCAATCAAATTGTGATTTAAGCGTCCATCACGTGATCTGATCTGATCTGACATGTCTGTAAACATTCTTTGTTATAAATGACCTACAAATTGAAGGTCATTATTACCTTATTAGTATTGATGTGACTCATAGTTTTATTCATTTCCATAAGACACGCTTTATTGGTCGGTATGTTTACTCGTCCTACTTGATGATAATTGTAATTTCCTCAATTATTGTACTAATTTAATTGTTTTTATTGTTTAGAAACAGATAAAATTTAAAGCAAACGTTGATCTTGTTCTAACTGTAGCAGCTTTCCCATAGACTCTGTGCTCGCCAATATTGCGTTTACCGTTGTAGAATTACATCTGTAGGACAAATTAAATCCTACAATAATCATGAATCCAGCCAGTATTGTTAGACTATCTAACATTAGAAACTTGGTAAACACTGAAAGAGGACTGGTTCGTTCTGGTATGAGACTGATTAATCAGTAGCGCTACGTATCGATGACTCCTGCTACTCGTAGGATTTTGTTACGAATGCACGTAAACATGTCATTTGATAAGCTTGAATTATTATGAGTTTACCTTGGTCAGTAAACGAGAGTGAGGATAGATGCTCCGGCGACAAGACATGCTACACTAATCTAATTGTTCCAACCCTCCATATTGTGTAAACGAAGAAGACTTGATATGAATTAGAACTTGTATTCTACAAACACTATACAAACACGGACTAGGGATCCGGGTCCCGGTCATAAAACGTTACAGCTGATGCGTATTTATACTGTTAGGTTGAAAAGGAAAAAACATTTGAAGTCTGTGACATTGACAGTTAGGATGACCAGTAGGGAACAACGCCAGACCAAAACACGGCAGAAATCCATGAAATCACTGGCAAGTGTACTGAGTTATGTTGGTAGATATAGGCTACCTGATTGGGGTCCACGAGACGAAAGTCATCAATGGTGCAGGTGCATTCACTCTTTGCGTCTCCCCAAATTCTAATCTTCTGAATTCGTCAACACCTCCACCTTTGTCTTTCTGAACTTATCTCACTGAATTATACTTGTTGAATAATATCTTCAAATCCTAATCTTCTCCATTACTGCGAATACTCCTACTATCTCTACCACTATGGGATTTGAATTGACAATTAAATCTCTGTGTGCTGATGTGGTACGACAACCTGAACTGATGTACTCACGTACAAAGTTCTACGTTGTAACTGACTCACTGAATGGGAAACAATATTGAAGTACGTGACATTGATATCTAGGACAATCATAATATTGACCAGTAGGAACTGACCAATAGAATTAGACTTACAGAAATAATTCTCTTAGTATATTTGATGAATATCTTAACTGATTTGGACCTAGGACCTATGAATTTGCGCGTGAACGCTTAACCTCTGGACTACTGATTCGGCGAAATCTAACAGTGTTATTGCCGAATAACTCTGATCAATCTAAGGATCTAGCATAACCTCACTCATTGTCTCCAGTTGATAACTGCCTACACCCAACAGGGTCCTATACTAGGATGAAACGGCCGTTTAGTGATTGCAGGTTTCTAATGTGGTAGTCTAACAATGATTCACTCATGATTTCAATGTGAAACTCAATAACTTTTAAAATTCCATAAGAGTTCAAAACAAATGTTTTCGTTTAGTATAAAAATTCAAATAATGATTGAACTCAAGATTTTCACATTTCACAACCCAGTGAAGTTAATGCTTTTTGCAAAACTAGGATATTCTTTAACATCGATCAATTTATTAGACT